GGTCATGCTGGGCTAGGGTGGGCCCTTAATCCAATGACTCTTGCTTTTTGTTTTGTTTTGCAGTACTGGGGATGGAACCCAGGGCCATCCTCATGCAAGGCAGGCACTACTCTACCACTGAGCTGCACCTCCAGTTGTGGTGGTTGTTGTTTTAAGGAATTCTGTCCCAAGACTAACATAGAAATAGAGCCTGAGTTTCCAGTTTGTTGACCTGCCTCAACCACCACGTGAGCTAACTTCTTAAAATGCCTGTGCGTGCATACGTGTGTGTGTGTGTGTGTGTGTGTTTTCTCTGGAGAACCCTGATATACGTCTTTTCACTTGTCAAATCTAGCTTTATGTCTGTTAATGTTTCAGAGTAGGAAGTTGTTTTCTACATCCATCATTCTTAAAAACGACATAAAAATACAAGCCCAATGTTTATATTTGAAAGATTAAAAATTTAAATAATCAAAAGAAACACAAGGAAAATTGTCTTTGAGAGTGAATATAGGCAATTAAGATAATCATTATGCAAGTTGGACATGGTGGCACACACCTGTAATCCCAGCACTCGGGAGACTGAGGCAGGAGGATTGCTGAGAGTTTGAGGCCAGCCTGGGCTACATAGTGAGTTCAAGGCCAGACCGAACTATAGTGAGACCTTGTCTCAACAACAACAACAACCCCCCCCAAAAGATAATCATTGCACATAACTTCGTGATTCCACAAATACAACTATATAATTATAAATCAAGGCAATTTCCCTATATTAAATTCCCGGCCTGTATACACACTTTGAACAAATATTGTGTGTATCAATAAAGTTTTTCATGTGACAAATAAGACTGGTTGCTTGTTAACCTATCTTAGGATGGGTTGTTGACAGTAATTACATGCAGAGGATGATACATAGCTGAAATATTTTTGTTTTGTCTTAACATTTATAGTAGAAAAACTAGGCTCATAGACGTATGTTGATAGGAATGAAAGAGCTATTTTAAAGTAATTCACCAAGCTCAGGATATTTATTTTCTCTTTCTTTCTTTTTTGATACAGGGTCTTGCTATGTACCTCAGGCTGGCCTAGAACTTGGGGCAATCCTCTTGTCTCAGCCTCCTGAGTGCTGGGATTACAGGCGTGCACCACACCTGGTAGGATATTTATTTTCATCCAAAACAAAAGTAAAAGATGACTTATTCCCAAAATGTCTTCAAAACTTCATCCATTTCCAAGAATTTCTGTTGTAAAAGTTAAGAGTTAAATATTAATTTGATACACTTCCGGGCAGCAGTTGGTGAACTAACCTATTTCTGTGTGCGCCCTGGTGGTGGTGTGTATGCCTTCGGGCTGTAGGCTGTTCCCCTGTGAGGCCTGTGCAAGTTTACAGCCCCAAGTGGGTCAGCACTGGGTTCAACCATCTGCATCTGCTGGTATATTTTTATATCATGGGATGTCAGTTGCTATGACAATTTTTCACCGCTGATCTCAATTGCTGCATTTCCTACAGACCGGTACCAGTCTGCCCTGAGTCTGCCCAACCCGCTCCACTGGTAAGTTAGTAGAAGCTCCTTTCTGTCTTCAGGGAGTGAGGGGATTCGCCACTGAGAGAGTTGGTTGAGGTGCTAGCTGAAGGCAGACGGACCATGGAAGGAGTAGTAGGCAGAAGCAGCCCTAAAATCTAATTATGACCTTATCTTTTGAAGCAACAAAACCAGGAAGATCTATTCCTAATTCCTTCCTCACTTCATCCCATATATGTTTATTCCAGCTGATAGCATTTTTTCTTTCCTAAGTCTTTCTCCCCATCACAGAAAGGCATGCTCCTGGTTAATTTGAACCTTCAATGTGGAAAATATGTGGTGCCAGGAAGCAAAGAAGGACTCAAAAAATCATGGGATATGTCAAAAGGATACAGGGGTCCAACTTAACGGGGCCCCTAGTGGCCGAATCTGGGTCACCTGAGCAACAAAATCAATGAGAGTGACAGATTCTAATGCAAAGGCTAAAATAAATACCCATGAGTGCATGCTAATATACATAAATTCACTGGGGAGAAAGCTGTTGTTTACAAAATTGCAATTAATAGTGATAGAAATGGAAAATTATCATTTAGCAAATCCATGCACAATAATGATTGTTTCAGGCAGTAATCATCAGTGGATGCTGAAATGAATGGGTGAAAGTATGATACAAAATGGGATAGAAACATAGACTTAGGGGGCGGGGGATGTAGCTCAGTGGCACCGAACCTGCCTAGCAAGCACAAGGTCCTGAGTTTGATTCCCAATACTGAGAAAGAAAGAAAAAAAAAGAAACAGTCTTAAAGTGTCTGATAATAAAGGAAAAAAACAGTAACTTTAGAGAGGAAACTGGCAGACACCAGCTCCACCAGAGTCACTGGCACCACAAATGAGATGCGCTGATATCTCTGCCTCTGCCTCCGCCTCCTGAGAAGGAAGTGGTGAGATGAGTGGCCCCCAGTGAGGTGCTGCTGTTCTTTCCTGAAATTCACAGCCCGATGTGAAGCACAAGCAAGCACCAAACCCAGAGTGAGGCAGAGTCTACAAAGTAGGTGGCCAAGGCTGTTAACTCACTCACCTGTCCCAGATGAAAGGAAACTAAGGAGACGTAATAACTAGACCTGATGTGCGCTGTGGGTTGGCCCCCAGCTCAGTCATCGGCAGGACAGTCGATAAAACTTGACAGAAGCGTGTGCCTAAGGCTTGCAAGCAGGACATTGGGCAGTACACATCAGCCACCCAGTGCTCGGTCCAAGCAGAGTCCTAGAACTTAATACTGTTACTATAGTTTGTTAAGCATTTGCAAACCTTAGAATTTGTTCTTCCCACTGAGTGCTAATTTTCACAAACCTGGGTTGTTACCATTCCCATCCTATAGATTAAAAATTTAGTCCGGCATAGTGGTGCATACCTTAATCCCAGCAACTTGGGAGGCTGAAGCAGGAGGACCACAAGTTCCAGATCAGCCTGGGCAACTTAGCAAGATCTTGTCTCAAAATAAAAATGTTAAAAAAAAGACCACAGGTGTAGCTCAGTGGTACAGCACTTGCCTAGCAAGAGCAAGGCCTTGAGTTCAAGTTCCAGCATTGCCAAAAAACAACACCAACCCCCCCCCCCCCCCGCCGAAAAAAAACCCCCTCTGATTCAAAGAGACGAAGGGAATTGGCCAAGGTTCTTCAGCTGGTAAATGGGGACGCAGTGAACTAAACTCATCTGTGTGACTATCGATGCTGCTTACTAATGGCCTTCTCTAATTAACTCTTTATTTTCCCAAGAAACTGCTGCATATTCAATCCTGTCAAAACAAGGATAGGAAAGATTTATCTAAATGCACGGTTCCACTGCAACTGTTTAAGCATCCATTAAAACTAAATTTACTACTGGGCGTAGTGGACCACACCTGTCATCCCAGCACACGGCAGGCCTGAGTTTGAGACCAGCCTGGACTATACAGCAAGACCCTATCTCAAAAAAATAAGGAAGTTTATGCTTGGCACGCACTGTAGCATGCGCCTGTAGTCCCAGCTCCATGGGATGCTGAGGCAGGAGGGTAGCTTGAGTTGAGGAGTTTGGGGCCATCCTGGACAACATAGTAAGATCTTGTCTCAAAAAAAAAAATAAATAAAATGAGGCTTCTGTCTTCTATATGGGTTGGTATTAATGAAAATGGATTATCACTTCTTCAAAAGAAATAGCCTATGAAAATAAAAATCAGTTCTATATTCCTATACAATTAAGCCATAAGCAGTATCTACTACATACAGAATCTCAAATATCTTATGAACCTAGAATAATCTACGGATTTGCTGGGAAGTGATGGGTTTTCTCTTCCAGTGTCAGCCAAACAATTCTGCCTTAAGTCTGCCTTTCCTGCCTCACATAATCTCGACATGGTGATTTATGTTCCTGAACAAATTAGACTTAATTTAAGAGCAAATCATCAGCAACAGGTATAATAATCTTGGCAGAACATTTATTTTAATTAATTGCTTTCTGCCTAACATAGATAGAAGGGTGCTGATGCCACTTGCCCTGTAAGGATTAGTGCTGTCATGTAATTTTTTCTCTTCTCCTAGAACTTAGTCTCATCAGTTTTAAGTTACAAAGGCACTGGTTTACTTCATATTCAATCATAACAATCTAACTTTTATGGCAATGTTTACATAAGATACTTCTGAAAGAAAAATGGATTCTAACTATCCTACAGCATTAGAGTCCTGCTCCCATATGTAGGCTCTGTTGGAGTCCATGGGGGTCACAGTGGGGACTGTTTTGGGGCTAGGCAGGTGAAAAACCCTCATCCCCATAAATCTGGCAGAGAGTTGGGGTTGGGGACACTTAGGTGATTGTAGAACAAGGTCAACTTTCTTCCCTGTGAAGTTGAGTATCACTATTATTTGTACTGGCATGACAAAAACACATTTCCTCTGGTATGTGGAGTTTTAACATGTGATTGTGAAAACCACCTTATGATAGTAAGTGGAAGAAAACACGACTAGACTCCTTCTCTAACCTGTCAAACTCAGTGTTACTTAGAAATGATCTCATGATGTTTCCTAAGAAGCAGCAGAAATAGCCAATACTAAACCTGAGGAGGGTTCCTAGGGCAAGGGCTGCAATGCTCATAAAATGATTTTGCTACATAAACATGAAGTTTAAATTCTAACATGTCTTTTAGGAAATAAAATGGTAATCTTAAACTTTTACCTTAAAAAGTCCTTCATATTCTAACCAATTAGTTGTTTATTCATCTTTTTATTGCTTTCAAAAATCATTTTTCCAAGTTTTTTTTATTAAAAATTTAAGCCTAAATTAAAGAACAAGAATTGGTAATTAAAATGCCTTCCTTACACTGGTACCAAATCTCAGGAGGCAATGAGAAAAAACAAATGTAAAAAAATAGCAGGAACCATTTTCCATGATAAAACAGCCAATTCTGATGATATAAAAGCCTACTTAAGTTTTTATAATATGGATTTAGTACTGAAATGACACACATTTGTTATCATTGATTTTATTTGTGACTCTTTATAGACATTGGTCCACTTCCAGAAGAAAAGTACAAATCATCCATTTCCACCTAATATTTTACAGAATAAAGTTGTACCACAGACCACAGTAACTTCACAGGGGGAAAAGTTACTGAAGTAAAAATATTTTAGATTCATGCCTCGAGATGTGCCCCTAAGATTTGTTTTTCGTATCTAATTACAAGCATCTACATGCCATGGAGTCAGTCTCTTCTTAAATCACTATAGCATTTTAAATATTCTTACTAGACACACAGGTCACCAAACTTGCAGCAGAAGTTAAAAACAGCCACACTGTCAATCAGACACAGTTCAAAACTAAGCAACTGTATCAACACATCCAGTATTTTAGGGCTGCTCTAAGAAAACATCTCTCATTTCAGAGATATTTACAATGAATTAAAACAATTACAAATAGTTCTTAGTATGTAACAGCCCAAATAGGATTTTCATTTGTCCTATACAAGCAAGTTAAGCATTCATAAGTTTCTCTAATAAATTCAGTGCATTTTTCCAACATAAATAATACAAGCTATTCTGTGTTTTACATTTCTTTCAGTGCATGTTTTTAGATTTACGAAATGGAATGAAATCATGTTATTAAATGGCTATATCATAATACTCAAGTATATTATGGAGTCTATATCACATATTTCAATTCACATCAATACTCTACTCTAAAAAAATCATAGGCACACATAAAATAGAGAACAAAATTTGCTGTTTTTAAAATAAATTTAAAGTGTACTATCTATTTTAAACCACACCAAAAGATATACTTTAATAAAACAGTTGATGTCCAAACCTCTTGTCTAAGTCTGACATAAGGAAAGCTCAGTCCATTCGAATCTTCTGGTTTGTCATCCTGTAAATGATGCTGTCGTAGCCGGGATCCATATTCCAAATGTTGTAAGAGGTGATAATCACAGCCAAGGCCAATGCGATCATTATCCAAAGTATCATGTTGAAAATTGCTGAATACTCAGAATTATACTTGTATGCAAGGTTATAGGGACTTCCAGTTTTCTACAAGATAGAAAAGAAGGAAAAAGTAAAATTTTAAGAGGGAAGAGTTTTAAGATAAATTATCCCAGTTTAGTGGCTACAATTCACTTTCTTTTTTCTTTCTTTTTTGGCGGTACTGGGGATCAAACTCAGGACCTTGCACTTGCAAGGCAGGCGCAGCACCACTGAGCTACATCCCCGGCCCTACAATTCACTGTCTTAACATTTACTCCTAAGTGGCACAAGAACTACTCATGCTAGGAGGACCCAGGAAGGGCAGGCTCCATGGCAAAGACAGGCACCGTTGGTTGGAGTGTCGATCAGGACCACTGCTCGAGAAAACTGTAAAGACCTAGTAAAGCTGAAGGTGGCAAGCCTGTGATCCAGCGGGTCCACACCCTAGGGAAAATGCCTACAAATGGACCAAGAGATGTGTATGAGAAGGTCGGCAGAATGGGTCATGGGCACATCTGTACAATGGGAACTGGAACATGCAGCAGTGTGACGACCCAGAGCAGCTGTGTCCATCAGCCTGAGGGCTCTCAAAATAAGACTGAACAGAGAAGGCAGAAAAATGCATGTGGTGCCTCTATCTGTACAAGATTCAAATACAGACAAAACCAAACAACACTGTTTAAGGAGAAATCCACATGCAGTAAGACTGTAAAGGAAGGAAATGGTTGGCATAAAATTCAGGAGACTGGACTGGGGACGTAGCTCGGTGGCAGAGCACTAGCCTAGCCCACTTGTGGCCCTGGGTTCCATCCCCAGCACTGCTAAGAAAAAGCAGGATCAGGATCCCAATGACCACTGGATGGGGGAGGGGGGAGGGAGAAGAGGGGGACTTCTGAGGAACAAAACTATAGTGCCAACACTACTTTTATTCTTTAATTAAATGTTACATACATATATATGTATGTATGATGTTAATTTTTTTAATTTAAAGAGGGAAACAAATCACGAACATCTTCAATGTTGAAGTGGTGTTGATTCCAAGCCCGGGCAAAGACAATGTTTGGGAGACTTCATTCATTCTGGCTGGAGAATTTAAAAAGCAGGACAAGGCTAGGGGTTCGGCTCTGTGGTAGAGCACTTGCTCAGTGGTAAAGCATTCATGAGGCAAGCACTGCAAGTAAGTAAAAAAGGTAGGACAACAGCAAGAGACAAGCTGGAAGCAAGAAGACAATGAAGCATCTAGACCTGAGCCTGTGGGCAACAGAAGCCCCCTGGGAAGTTTCATGCAAAAATTGGGTGACATAATCAGGTTTGTCTCTAAAAAAAATTACTTTGATGACTATGTAGTGAGACCAGGAGCTAGAGGGAAAGACAAGCAGAAGTAGAGTAAAAGGGCTTGAATAAATTGAGTAAACTGAGTAAACGAAAGGCCAGGACCTAGAGGAGCTAAAGATAAGCCTCGGGAAATGAGAGTGCAAAGGACAAAGGACAAGTCCCCGAGTGCACTAGAAAAAGCCTAAATGGGGTAGAATGCCAAGAACAAAGAAATAATACAGCCTGCTTTCGGGACACCCAAAGTCTGACCACAGCAACAGCGGCAGCTGCTTACCTGGGTGTTCCCCTGCACCTTTCTCGTCAGAGATTGCATAAAAGTCCCTAGACCAGTAATGGTGAACCTTTTCAAGCTTTCAGCGATAACAAACAGCTGGCTGCAGCACGCGTGCCATAGGTTCGCCACCACTGCACTAAACTTAAATGTCTACAGTGTCCTTCTTCTAAAACTCCTCCCGACAAGCGACAAGCGAGAGTTTTCCTTTTTGTTCTAATAAACCACACCCATACATTCCCATTCCACACTGCTGGCTGTGTTCTGTCAGCCAGTCCTTGCTGCCCTCAAAACAAAAACCCAGAGAGCCAGCGGGTTTGGGAAGGGCTGGAAGAACGCTGGGAGCACTGCGCACAGACAGGGTGCCTGGCAGGGAAGATGGAGAAGAGAATGTGACTGGGTTCCCTTCGTCCCTACAGAGCCAGCACCTGGCACACAATTCCTTCAACTCCTAATTCCTCCCTTAAACTAACAAAAGATAGTGATTTCCACAGAGAAGATGAATACAAAGACATGTGCATTCACCAACGGAGCACAGGGCAGAGGCAAAGGACTTCACACCCTTGAAGGCCTCACTTTATTTTTTTTTGGTAAACAGGTTCCTTTTCACACCCACTTTAAGCATACATTCCAATGAATTTTCATATATTTACGGAGTCGCACAGTCACGACTGCAGTCTAGTTATAGAACATTTCTATCGCCCCGAAAGGAACCCTCCCATGAAGGCTTCTTCCCACTGTGGCATGAGTGGGCACCAACCCAGACAGAGGGGGAGAGTGGATGAGGAGAGGAGGGTCGCTGGGGATAGGCGCCAGAGACTGGAATGGTCTCCACGGACCACGTGACACTGTCTTAGATTGTATTCGGGGATAAGCCATTGAATCATGACCTAAACTGATTAAAGAAATGGTAGTCAAACCAAAAACTAGAACTTTTATTTAAAGAAAGATTTGAATTTAGTGGTCAAACATTTAAGTACTAGATTTTTAGAGGTAGTATTCATTCACTACCTTGAGGTAAAGAAAATCCACTGACATCACCTAATTCTCGCCCCTCACCATACACACAATAATTTGAGAAACTACTTCCTCATAAACTTGGGCTATCTAGTAAAGCAGCTGGATCATAAACTAAAACTAACACACCTCAGAGAAGACAAACTAACTTGTCAAATAAAGTCCCCAAATAAGTGAGACCTCCTTGAAGCCTGCAAGTTTCTCCCTGGAGTCCCTTCGTGTAAAAACAATTACCAGCCCTAACTTATTAAGAATCTAATATTTAACGGTCTTCCCATTAAATTCAAATCTGTCTTTACATAAAAGTTGTCTGTGGTTTGACTCTCATTGCTTTAATCAGTTTAAATGGTTACTTCATGACACATCCTCGTATGCTTCCATCCGGAGTTCTTGGGGTCCAGTCTGGCTGTCTGCTGCTGCAGTAACCTGTGCTCGCCATGGCTTAGCTCGGCCCATGTTTCACCACGTTTTTCGTCCACATTTGGGGAGACTAGCTGGGACACATACTGAGGGTGTGTCTTGCCTCCTCTGAGGTCCCATGGGGACCTGTATGGGACCCAGTTTTATGTTAATTTCTTGTTCACAGGCATCCTGGAATTTGCAGATAATATGGACTTGAGCCCCATGGTTAAGAATTCTCAGGGAGACAGCTCCATTCCCAATGTATGCGCCGACTACTCAGAGCCCAAGCTGCCTCTGGCAGTGAGCAAACTGTCTTCTACTTTCCCCAGGCCCCCAGCTTTATACGGAGAGTCAGTTCTGGTCTTCCACACTCAGCGAGCCAAAGTCCTCTTGGTGCCCCAAATGGCAAACGTCCTCACGGTGGCCTGCATACTACAGGTTCCTCTTTGTTATTTTTAAGAATTTCCCTCTCTTGAGAACTGAGCAATATACTTAAAAAGGTGTTTATTATTTATCCAGCACTGTTGATGTTGCATAGTGGAAATGGGGGGTGCTGCCATGCCATCTTAGACAGAGGTCCCTGCACCCAGTTCAGTGTAGAAGGAAACACTCACAAGCCAGTCAGCTCTGGATCATCTTAAACAGGAATTAGCTCTGACCTTCCGACTCGAGTCCCATTCTGCCGTCAGTAACACTGAGCAAGGCAGTGGGCACAGGAGTGACTGGGCATCTGACTGCAGCAAGCGACAAGGCCAACTGTAGACGGTGCTCTTGGCCACAAGGTGTTATGGAGTGTCCACACCACTTGTTTCCATGAGCATCTAAGTCTGCTGACGCTGTGTACATATATGTATAGGGTTATGTACACACACCCACTTTTCCATGGCCAGCACCCTTGCCTCTGACTCTCTAAATGCTTAAAATAGATCCATACTAAACTGTTGGTATACACAGAGGCCCATGTAGAGGAACCCAGAAAGCAAGGGACTGTGCACAAAGATAATATACTTCCTAAGAAATCAGAGTCCACAGGCTGAAGAGCCATACCGCTCCCTCATATGGGCCTTGGCCGTCTCCTGTGTATGCCAATATTTGAGTTCTCTAACCTGCTCTGATTTACTTTTATCCCTAGCTCAAATTTTTGTGTCATCTGATGCCAACCCTAAAGAACTCAGTATCACAGGAAAGATCACTACTGGTGTGAATAAGACACCTATAGGAGATACAGGATTTATCTATTTTTTTAAAATAAGTTGATTTCACAGTTATAAAGCAGGACCTAAAAATGTACTCACGTCCGGTTTTGTCTCTAGGATAGTCCTTGTCTTCCTCACAAGAGATGTGTCAAATGATTTGACAGTCACTAATTCCACCACTGCATTTCCACCATAAAGATTGTACATGTCATCTGCAAACTGAAAGTGAGTTATTAATATTAGGAATTCCAAATACATACCTGTTTTCATTTGTGTCTTAACTGACATAAATTGCATATATTTGTCCCTTAGTAGCCATGGGGATTGGTTCCAGGACCCCCAGAGATAACAAAATCTGTAGGTGCTCGAGTCCCTTCTATGAAATGGTGCACTATTTGTGTTGTATCTGTGCAGTCCTCCCATATACTTCAAATCATCTCTAGATTACTTATAGCACATAATACAATGTAAACATTGTTATACTGTATTATTATTTTTTTTAAAGGAAGAAAAGTTCATTGTAGTTCAGTTTGCAGAGGTTTCAGTTCATAGTTGGCTGGCTCCAAGTCAGGGTGGAATGGGAGAGGGGCATCACAGAGGAGAAAGAGTTCTTACAGGCAGAAGGCAGCGAAGCAGTGAAGTAGCAAAGAAGGAGCCTATACTGTATTATTTAGGGGATGGTGACACGAAAAAAGGCTATACATGTTCAGTAAAGATGCAGTTTTTTCCCAAATATTTTCATTCTTCAGTTGGTTGAGTCCACAGATGTAGAACCCAGGATATGGGTATTTATTGTGTACAACATATTCTTTAAAAATATGTATACCTTATGAAATGGCTCAGTCAAGCTAATTACCATATGCAAAACCTCTCACATCACTTTTTGTGGTGAGTCAAATGCATACTTAAATTATTTGGAAATCTTCCGTGCAGCTACAACAACATACACTCACCTGCTGGCTCATGATATACACTATATCCTAAGATAAGCAAATCTTAAAGGTTTTGATTATGTTAAAATATTCAGAAAAGTGTTAAGCTTTAATATATATTCAAGTGTTCAAAATAAAATTACTTAAGAGACTGAACTTGTTGGCATATAAACTGGGGGAAGGGAAACAGGAAAGGGAAATGAAGACACCTTCCCAAGTGGTCTATGGCTCATCACAAACATTTACAGAGATTACATAAGAAGCCTCCCTGAAGAGTTAGAGCGGAAGGACTCTAGAGCAGAAGAGAGCCAGAGCTGGCCCTGACTATGCATCCACTACATGCCTGCTACTGCGCTGCTGGGTTACAACCTCTCATCTCACGGTGTTCAGTGAGTACAGAGCTTCAGTTGGGGAAGATGAAAAAGTTCTAGAGGTGGATGCTACTGGTAGTTACACAACATGTAAGTCTCAATACCCCTGAACTGTACAGATAAAATGGCTGAAATGGCCAGGCATGGTATCTCAAGCCTGTAATCCCAGCAGGTGGACTGGAAGTTTAAGGCCAGCCTGGGCTATATAGTGAGACCTTGTCTCAATAAGCTTAAAAAGAAATGGTTTTTCTGGTGTGAGAAACCAAAAGTGGAAATAAGGACCAAAATGTATGGTAGATATTGGGAAATGGGGAGAAAATGTTCAAATGAGAAGGGGAACAAGGAAAGGGGAAAGAATAGAAGAAAAAAAATGGAAACAAAGCTTTTGTAAATAAGGGGAAGAGGGATCAAGGGAGGGGAGGGGAACGGGAAAAAAGAAGCGAGATATATCATATACAGGTAAAAATTCCCTATGATAAATGTTATCATTAGGTACATCTAAAATGTACCAATAAATGTTTTGCTTCAAAAAAAAAGGAAAAAAAAGGAAGTGGTTTTATGTTATATATGTATTTTATCAGAATTTTAAAATGTACTATACAATAGTTATCAATCATCTCCTAATGCTGCCCCTACCAGCACTATAAACAGATATTCCAGTCTGTGACCTGTGACCTGACTCTATCGTTGGCTATTATAATTAGAAGACCCTCAAAGAAATCAGGTAAGTCTTCAACAGGACTGGGGTGCAGCTCAGTGGTAGAGTGCTTGCCTGGCATACATGAGTTCTATCCCCAGCACCACAAACCTCAAAAATCAATCAATCAATTCACTCAACAGTGTTTCACAAAACAGATTTTTCCATGAAAAGGCTAAAAATAAGTGAAACAGTCACACTCCAACCTCCATACCACATCCATATTTACCTTTTGCAGAGCATCAATAAGGATTCTAGAAGCATCTCTGAATTGTTCAGAGTCTTCCCCATAACGTTTCCCAATTTCATCTAAACCTGCCAGCTCCAGTGAATATAAATCAGGAGAATGATCCTTGGCTAGATGCTTGTGACGAGACAACTTAGGAAAACAAACAGAGGCAGTGGATGAGGTAAGATGTCCAACCCAGTTGAAGTTTTATACCTAAATAATCTAGGGAAGTAATGGCAAACCTTTCAGAGCTTTCAATGATAACAAACAGCCAGGTGTGGTATGCATGCCACAGGTTCACCACCACTTATCTAGGGTATCATGGAACCAGGCTAGTGTGCCACACCATAACAGAGATATGGGTTTAATGGGAGTTTCTGATAAATCTCATTTTGGGGCACAGTTAACAGAAGTCTTTAAATATTACATAAAAGCGCTTAACAAAATTGCTTAGCTTTAAAAACTCAGATATGGGGCAGGGCGTGAAAAAGCAGACGGTTGGTCCAGTTTGGTACCAGAATTCATGAGCCATTGGTGTCTACCTCACACGTCCCTTCCCAGATCACTGCCCAAGGCCCCTAGAATTAAACTTCAACATCCTTGAATCAATACCGGCTGCAAACGTTTAGGAAATAAATTTCGAAACTAGCAAACAGGAATGAGTTTCTATTTCAGTCACTAGGATGATTTTTTAAAAAAGCATTCACCAAAAAAAACCCAAAAAACCAAAAACACTACTCAGATTTTTTCCCTCCTTGACTTGGCTGCCAGTATTATTAGTTCAAACTGTTATGTCTATTTTCGACCCAAAGCTATAGATGTAGGAATTAAGTCTTACTGTCTGACAAGAAATCAATGGCCAAGTCAGAACTATAGCCAGGGTGTTCTCACTCCCAGGCCTATGTTCTTGGAGGACATACTGTCTCGCCTAAAAGTAGAAATGCAAAATAATTTGGTGACAATATGACACAAGTTCAAAATTCCCAGCACCACCAATTTCTCAACTTCCATGGCGTCATGAATCTAGGGCATATGTAATCAAACTTCAAGCTGGGGATGTAGGTCAGTGGCACTGCGCCTGCCTCACAAGCACAAGGTCCTGAGTTTGATCCCCGGTACCAAAAAAACCCCCCGAAAAACAAAAAACAAAGAAACTTCACTTGGCCCACTGTCATTCAGGTGTTCTCTAGCAACTGAAAGGGAACTGAAAAATGTTAGCAGCCTACTTACCAAACTTGAAATGTCATGGAGCACTTGCATTTCAGAAAGGAAGAGCAGGTCAACCTTCAGAGAGCCAAACAAGTGAGCATTGTTTTAAATATGTATCAGAATCTGTATTTGCCATTTATCAAGTAAAGGATAGGGTATTACAAGTATTAGTCACGTGAGGGAATTTATACAATTGCCCGCCCTTTGGTAGGTTCACTTCAATTGAAAATGCATATATAGGGCTGCGGGTGCAGCTCAGTGGACTCCACCCCCGCCCCCCAAGAAAGCACATAAAACAGTTTGCTAACAAAAAGGTGCTGGCCATCCCCTAGCACAGTGACTACTTCACTTCTCAGTAGCTGTACTTCTGACCGAGCCATGACACAAAGCATCCAAATTGTGACTTTCTCTCGGGGGAAGGGGTATCCCAGCACAGGGCAATGCGACCCTGCCAGTGAGCCAGTTGCTCACTGCCCTTGAACACTCTCCATTTTGGGGAATGAAGAATGGTGGCCCGGGTCATCCACAGTGAAGGGGGGAGGCTGCCACGAAGCGGCATGCCCTGTGGTTCCAAGAGTGCATGAGCAGATGGCGAAGCTAAAGTGTCAAAAGTGGAAGGGGCTCCATCCACCAGTGTCCAGAATGAAGGAAAACTGTGGCAACGTGGCGGCAGCATCACAGCTGTGAATGACGGCTCAACCAGCCAAGGCCATACTGTGGTTTCTGCCTTATTTGGATTAGCACGGAGCAACCCTGTGCGGGAATGTAACACTGTACCACTGTTCAGCTCACACTGAGATTAAGTTTATTCATGAGGTTATTAAGAAAACTATACCTATGGATGGGCCAGGGATGATTTAGCTCAGTGGTTTCGCCATCTGCTGCACAAGTGTAAGGACCCGAGTTCGATCCCTGGTACCAAAAAAAAAAAAAAAAAAAAAGAAAACTATACCTATGGAAAGGAGCATCTACTCCGGCAGTAAATCTGCACAATTCTTTCTAACATTTCAAAATTTCTAAAATTTCAAGTAGCATAAGGAAAGGGAAATTAATGATACTCACAGCCAGGAGTGGTGGCGCAGGACTGTAATCCTGATACTTTGGGAAGCTGAGGCAGGAGGATTGCAAGTTCGAGCCTACCTTGGGCAACTTAAGCAAGACCTTATCTCAAAAAATATAAAGGCCCAGGCATGGTGGTACACGCCTGTAATCCCAGCTCTCCGAGGCTGAGGCAGGAGGATGGAGGATCACCGAGAGTTCGAGGCCAGCCTGGGCTATATAGTGAGTACAAGGCCAACCTGAACTGCATAGTGGGACCTTGTTTCAAAACAAACAAACAAACAAACAAACAAAAAAAGGGCCGGGGATGTAGCTCAGTTCGAGGCCCTGGATTCAATCCCCACTTCCGAAAAAAAAAATGATATGCATTCAATAACTATACTACTCACTTCATTGTTCCTACTTAGAGAGTTGAGGGGAAGTGAATTGAGAACGGAGTTTTCTTGAAACAGGCGATTATGCAGCTGCCGTAGTGTGACTGAAAGGTCTTCAAAAACTGAATTTGCCTTCCCCACCATATACACTCTCTGCAAGAAAAATCCAAAACTGTTAAGTTCCTCACAGTTTAACCAATTCATTCAATACACAGAGTTCGGTAGCATTTTTCATAAAATTAGTTTTAAATTTTCATTAAGCAGTGAAAGCTTAAATTTTTAAAGCATCTTAATAACTTTTTTATCACTTACTTCCTCACTGGGAGCCAACTGCAAAACTACAGGAGTTTCTTCAGAAAATAAGGAGTGAATGGAATTTGCAACGCTGTCAAGACTAAAAGGAACTGCCTGAAATTTAAGAGGAAGACCGCAATTATTTCCTGAACCAAAGGGGTAAGAAAGAAGAAACAAAACAAAGGCACCAGCATTTTAAATAGAAATGTAGAAGACCCAAATCATTTCCAAACACAGAGCTCTTTTGAGAAGCTGGAAGATTAAACATCTTCCTAGTGGGCCTAGCCTGTATCTCCCAATGTGCCTAAAGGGGAACTAACTTGCAGGCATGAAAGACAGGACACTATTTTGCATAAGCCATTTTCTGGTGGTCATTCATGTGTTTTAAGCAGTAAGACATTTGGTTTCAATATTGATTAAACACACAACAAGGAACGTGCATTCCACCATAAAGTACTATATAGAATTTAAGAAAACGTTTGAGGAATCTGAGGTAGTGAAAGAGAAATAGACCTCAGTTTTCATTTCAAAATTTCTAAAATATTTAGTAAGATTCAGGGTTCATTTTCAGATAGACCAGACTCTTAGATGAGGTGTAAAACATACTCCCAGAACTGTACATCTTAGGAACACATGCTGATATTATTAGACTGAAATATCACCAATTGTGGTAAGACCTACTTTCTTACTTGCATTTTTATTAAAGTGTAACATACAATATAGTGCACAAATCCTTAGGTAACAGCTCAGCAAGTGTCTTACAAATGGGTGCACTGATGTAACCTAGGCAGATAAAGATACAGATCATCAGTACCCCAGAAACACCTCCCTCCACCCTCAAGGGTAACCAAAATTCTGGCTTCTCCCCTCCACGGATTTGTTTTGCTACACATTATTTCAAAAATAAATGACTGTAATCTTCCCCTCAAAAGTTATTGTTTCCCATATTATTATTTCCCATATTACTGTATTAAAACAAGGAGTGCAGTAGTGTTGTTTTAATGTAGATTTTTAAAATGGCTTTTTTCCTAGTGATTTCTTCCCTTTATTACTTAAAGGTTGGTGTTTATAGATAGCAAATTAATACTGATGTGGTACAGGCAGAAATCAATGTGATTATGTAAATCTCACTGATGAAATCCCAGTGTCAACATTAAGCTTATTTTATGATTCTGTGAAATGAAATCAACTTTTTCTTTGTCGAGGTACATATTAACTCTTCCCCAAATTCTCTTGGAATGAATGAGTAACTCCGGGGAAGAGCGCTCAGCTTGCAGACATACACGGGCTCTCCGTTGGCCAGGCAGTCGGCCCCCTCCAGCTTTGCAGGGGATTCCCCAGCGAGGGACACAAACACCCCACCTCATTTCACCTGGTGAAATGGCACTCAGGTCAGGAGAGCTGAAGATCAAAGGAAATCTACAGTGATTTCCACAGAAATCATGCAATAAACTACCGAAGTACTTTTGGTGAAAATAATCTGCCTTTTGATCTTCACTGTTTCCCTCCTTCCATTTTACTTACATTTACTCTGAAATTCTCCTGATCTCTTCAGGTTATTAATATCCAATCGTGGACAACCTAAACTGTCTTAACATCCATTTAAGGAGATAAATTTCCCTTATCACTTCAGCTGCACCCCACATTTTTTTTTTTGAGACAGGGTCTCGCTATGTAGTCCAGGCTGGCCTCAAACTTGCAGCAATGCTCTTGCCTCAGCCTCCCAAGTACTGGGATAATTTTTTTAATATAAGATATACTCACTGTTATTCAGTTCTGAATAATTTGGAGCCAGATATGGTGGCTCATGCCTGTAATCCCAGCACTCTAGGAGGCTGAGGCAGAAGGATCATGAATTCAAACCCAGCTTGGGTAACCTAGTGAGACTCTGTCTCAAAATAAAATATCTATATATCTATAGATATATAAATATAGGCTGGGGATATTAAAAAAATAAAAAAGGAAATTTTCACAGCAATTTACTCTTCAACCCATTAATTAGAACTACATCTATTCTAGCTATCTTTTTCTTGTTAAGTTTCTAAATAAATTCCCAATATATATGACATGTATGCACACAAATATACATATGGCTTAAGGAGAAAAACAGTTCTCTAAAACTTTTTCCCGAAAAATGTTTGTCTTTCCCCTCATCTCCCATTCCTTTGAGGCATTCACTTTGAAATGCTTTTTTCCCTCTGCTGTAACCACCATCTCTAAATAAAAAGGCTTCTAGGACTAATCTTCATTTCTCAGGCTCAGGCACTGCTGCTCATTACAGAAAATGAGAACTCAGCTCTGTCCCGCACCGAACCTAGCCCCATGCTCTGTCCATGCGTGCACTGCACTTCGGTCCTCCACCCTCCAGCAGGTACCCCAGAGTTCTCCCTGGTCAGTCCTGGTTCATGTTACGACTGTAAAAAACATTCGCAGCCTAGCCTTATATGACACAATCACTGCTTTTCCTTTCTTGATCCTTAATGGCAATGGTGAGAAATCTGCTAGCACTCTCTTCTCATTCCTTGGTAATGACAATGTCTTTTCACTGATAGCTTTTAAGATTTTCCATTTCCTTGATGATTCTTCAATTTCACTCTATCTAGGTGTTGATTTGGCTTTAGCATACTGGGTGTTCAATATGCTTTAAATCTCAGGAGTCAGATATTTTGTCTGTTTTTAGCATTTCCAAATCCTTATTTTTAATTGGCAGTTAACAATTGTATATATTTATGGGGTATCTAAAGTGTGTTTACACTGTGGAATGACTGATTACATCAAACTCATTATTAACAAGCCCATCACCTCAGTTATTTTTTTGTGGTGAAAACATTTTAAATCTTTTTTAGCAATTTAAAAATACAAAGTGCGTTATTATTCAGTATAGTCATCATTTTGTGCATTAGATCACTAAAGCTTAATCCAGAAATCTCACTTCTGGGTATACCTCCAGAGAACTGAAGTCAGTGTGCCAAAGAGGTATCCAGCCATATTCATTGTAGTGCCACTCACAATACCTGAGCTATGAAAGCAGCCGGCACCCATACCCAGAAAAATGGAGACAGAAAATGGCTGGAGTGGACCTCCATGGTACAGCACTTGCCTAGTACACAAGAGGGCCTGGGTTCAATCCCCAGAACCCTAAAAAGGGTCGGGAGAATCCTGTCATTTGTGACGGACTGGACAAACCTGGAAGACATTATGCTAAAGTAAGCCAGGTGCAGAAGGGCATATACTGCACGCTCTCACTTATGTGTGGGATTTAAAACAGCTTAGCTCATAGAAGTAGAAAGTAGAATGGTGGTTGCTAGAGGCTGGTGGTAGGGGGGAGAAGTCAATCTAAATACTTTTCTTTTTTTTTTTCTTTTTTTTTGTACCAGGGATGGTACTTGGGTCCTTGCGCTTTCGAGGCAGGCCCCAGAACCACTGAGCTAAATCCCCGGCCCAATCCAAATACTTTTCTTTTGTTTGTTTGTTTTGTTTTGTTGAGACAGGGTCTTGCTATGTAGTTCAGGCTGGCCTTGAACTCGAAGTGATCCACCTGTCTAAGCCTCCCAAGTGCTGGGATTACAGGTATATGCCACCATGCCTGGCTGTTTATTTGTTTGTTGAGACAGGTTCTTACTATGCAGTCCAGGCTGGCCTCAAACTCATCGCAATACTCCTGCCTCAGCCTCTAAAATGCTGGGATTACAGGTGTGTACCACCATGCCTTGCTCCATCCAAATACATTTTTAAGGTATCATTTTTGTAATTATTTTTAGATTTAACTGCATTGTGGTCAGAGAGGGTAGTTTATATGGTACTGACTCTATTGTTTGTGTAGATATGCCTTGTGACCTAACACATGGTCATTTTAGGTAAGCATGCCACGTGTGCTTGGAAATAAATCTATAGTAGACCACAGGGAAGACTGAAAAAAATCAGCATCATACAGACCACAGTCTTACAATGCAATGAAATTAGAAATTAAAAATTTAGAAATAATTGAAAAAGAACTCATGCATTTGGAAATGAAAAAGCAGTTCTAAATAACTCACAGGTTAAAGAACCACAGTCTAAATTATGAAATATTTACAAATCACAGATAACCACAGATCCAATGTCTTATAACTGCCTCCGAGCTGTTATTCCTTCAACTCCTTATTTTTTTTTTTTTCCGTTACCAGGAATCAAACTCAGGACTTTGCACTTGCCAGGCAGGCACAGTGCCACTGAGCTACATTCGGCCCTCCTTTTAACTCTTTTTTTTCTTTTGTACCAGGGATTGAACTCAGAACCTTGCGCTTGCCAGGTAGGCACTGTGCTGCTGAGCTAAATCCCCAGCCCTGCTTTTAACTCTTTTATAATTTTAATATATGCATTTTAAATGTCTTTGAGATTGGTCTGTTATCTGTAGTTCTGGGGGGATGGCGTGTTTGTTGTACCCACTTTCTCATAGCGTTTTCTTCCAGTGCTTTATGAATTTGAGTCACTTTCAAGTTTTTCACCAGAGGAGCCTTGGCTGTGAGGATGTCTCTACAGAGTGGGCCGTGCAAATTCGGAACGCACCTCTCTACACCCATAATTCTTGGGTTTTCGAGGGAGGATCTTTGTGCCCCCAGCCGAGGGCAGACAGCCAACTCCCCTGGAGCAGCCCTGGGTGGCAGAGGTCTCGCTAGTCCTTGAGGGAGTGGACAGGCATTCATAGCCCCCGGCCTTCTGCAGGGCACACAGCCGTGTCAGCTCCTGCTCACCCAGCGGCCCCTGCATGTCTAGTCCTGTCCAGCACCTGTGCACACCCTGCTCTTGCTTTTCAGTGGAGTTATGCTCACAAAAATGCTTTTATGGCACCTCTCCACCACTTCTATAAGCTTGCAGTGCTGGTCAGGCCTTTCTCATACTGCCCGAAAGCCTGATGAGGAACGAGTGAGCCAGCAGCCTCTGGGTTCAGAGGGAAAATGTTGATGGGAGGGAAATGAGGCAGCACCCACGGAAATGTCAGCAGACGCATCCTCAGCTGGTTCTTCTAGTGACTTTCTTTTTCGAGCCACCAACTCTTCTGACTGGGGTAATTGCTCTACACTTGGCTTAGAAAGTACTCTCATCCATAGAGATGGCTAAGTTTAATAAATTTACAACTAGTATATCATTTTTAAAAAGGAAAGTATGCTTCCAAAAGAAGACATGAGAAGTATGTTTAGAATGCAATTCATAATGTCAGCTGAAAAGATAAAATTAAAAATGCATCCCTTTGGGTTGGGTGTGTAACTCAGCTACCATGTATCAGGCCCTGGGTTCAATCTCCAACACCACAAAAAATCAAGTAGACCTTTATTTTTCAAAATACATACAGGGCTGGGGATTTAGCTCAGTGGCACCGTGCCTTTCTGGCAAGCACAAGGTCCTGGGTTCGATCCCCGGTACCACAAAAAATAAAAATAAATAAATAAAATAAAATAACATAAATACTCACATTCTCCAAAGGATATGAGATGACACGGCCTGGAGGGAGAGCCAGCTTGTCAACTCCCTTCACCAGCACCATGACGGTAGCCCTAGGCCGATGGAATAAGTTACCCACCGCAAGTCCTGGCCAAGAAAGGTCCTACCAGTAAAAAGAAGAAAGAGAAGCCCCAATGTTGGAAAGCAAAGAACAGTGCTTAGTTATCAACTCCGGAACCATCTCCCCAGTTGACACCTCAGAAACAGAGTTAAGGGGCTCCGGGATGACACTGGCCAGGAAAACTCACAGGGACAGAAACCTTGTACTTAGGGCAGTAGCTGCAATCTCCTTAAAGATGCTGACTTCTACCTTCTTCGTTTTCTTAAAATTCTACACATTTGAAACAAGATCTAATAGTAAATCATCTCAAAATTGTGGAAAAAAGCGAGGAAGTAAATGGAGCACAGGCCCTTTTGAAATTCCAGGTTGCAGAATATCCTCTTCTCCATACAGCCATGGGTATTTTCTCCCCTCGGCCATTTTTTGTCCCTATGCATGGCATCCCTTTCATCTTTCACATGATACAGAAGACTGTCATTAAAACACTTCCTTTAGACTTAGCACTTGAAAAATAAAATTCCTACTAAAAGTTAACGTGTATTAGTTTACTTATAGTTACTGCTAAAGGTTATTTTTACAGCCATCTGTAGTCAAATTTAAGGGGTATAGCACTTGCCTAGCTGCATAAGACCCAGGGTTCCATTCCCAGCTCTGCAAAAAATGAAACCAAACCAAAAAAATGAAGGTTGTAAAAAACTAGGTACAAATTTCAACCCTAAATGTAAAGGACCAGTCGCGTTCCCTTTGTTGCCCAAAGAGACAGCAAAGAGCTCAGGGCTCCACCCTTAGGCCCAGCAGCCAAGCAGTTCCCACAGCAGAGCTTGGGGGAACAGAGCGGCTAGAAGGGAAGTTATTGTTGATGACAGTGAGCTCTAGAGACCGTGTCAAAAGCACCACATTTATAAAGTGGAAGGAGATAAAGACAGCAAGACAAAGCAAGCTGCACCCCCTCCCTTCTAAGCCCTGGGCTGCAGATCTCCTGGATTGACTGGATCTAGGCCCCTCTGCTACAATCACACAAGCAGCGGGTTACAACAGGTTACAGCTGTATTCTAGGAAACCGAGGTCATAGGGTGCCAGTGACCCACCACACTGATTGCACTATTTTCCTAACCAAGGACAGGATGCATAGACATTTTATCACTTGCAGCAAATCTATCACCTGCACACAACAAATGATACATCCTATTAATAGCAGTATGCCTATATATATGTATATTTACTAGGTATCCATTAAAAATTAAAATATATTTTAAATGTTTTTAAAACTTAAAATAGGACAGATGCATTCTCTTATATACAAAGAATTTGAATATAAATAATTACATAGTCAATGATTTATAATGATTTAGTTTCAGAAGCTAAGCTTGAAACAGTTATCCAAAATCTCCCCAACTACAAATTGGCTTTTTAACTTTTGTAATCTGTAGCAGATATACCCATGTTTGTTGCTTTTTTGGGCTCTTATCAGAAATTAACAAATACACTTTTAGCCAGGCACATGCCTGTAATCCCAATACTTGAGAGGCTGAGGCAGGAGGATCACTGTGCATTTGAGGCCAGCCTGCACTAAATAGTGAATTATTCAAGGCCAGCCTGAAGTACATATCAAGACTTTGTTTCAAAAACAAACAAACAAAAAAACACAAAAAACGAAACAGAACAAAAACTAGAAGTAGCTCCAAACATTTTATAAAAAAATACACACATACTTCTTTCACAGTAAAGCCCATGGACAATGCAGCCACATCTGGGATTCGCTCTCCTGGTATAGGCCAATTTCCATTTCGGAAGACAACCGACCCTGGTGATCTTAATATACTAAACTCATTCCCCAAAACACCTGAGAAGAAAACAGATTATTAGTAAATGAATTATTAAGTCTTTTACATTTCCTCATGCTCCACTGTCTTAGCATACTAAATTATGATTGGACAAAATCCTAAGTGCTAAACATCAACAGATGGGGGTCGGGTGGGGATTGAGTATCATCTAAGAGTATGATGTCTGGGATTTAAAAGTGAAGGATAAAAATGAGCCAGGTATGGTGGTGCACACTTGTAATCTCAGCACTCTGGAGGCTGAGGGAGGAGGATCGCCATGAGCTCGAGGCCAGCCTGAACTACATAGTGAGACTCTGTCTCAAAAAAAACAGTAAGCACATAAGCACATACACTATCACTGAGCTACACTCCCAGCCTTCCAACAAATTCTTTTGAAAGTAGCACTCTAAGAATTTAAGTCTATATATTCTGCTGGAACAAAGATGCAACTATGAAACAGCATTTTCCTAATGATCTAGATGCCTTGTACAGATCACCTCTAATAGGAACATGTAGCAATTTGGCAAGAATCAGAAACCAGTGGCATTTCTCCACAATTTACAGACAAACACCAAAAAACCCTGGCACAGACTAAAAATGAAGAAACTTGGAATTTCTAAATTATTCCATCGACCCTCTCTACAAAATGCAAATTCATAAAATTTCTAGTATTTCACCATAGAACTTTAGTAGATCAGTATATCTTAGGCTAGATCACATCTTTCCTTACACCCCACAAGCAAACCTAGTAAAATGAAGATTGTCAAACAGGAGAGAGACCAGCCAGAATATAAAATAATTCAGATTTCTGAAACAAAGTCCAAGAAATAGTATTTTCAGCTGAACATAGGAAGGATAAGACAAAGTACGCTGTAATGATTAGGTCAACTAGTCTTAGAGTATGATGTCTGGGATTAAAAAGTGAAGGATAATGGGCCGGGGATTTAGCTCAGTGGTTCCAGCAAGTGCAAGGTCCCAAGTTGGATCCCCCATACCAAAAAAAAAGAAAAAGTGAAGGATAAAAATGAGCCAGGCGTGGCGGTGCATGCCTGTAATCCCAGCACTCAGGAGGCAGAGGCAGGAGGATCGCCATGAGTTCAAGGCTAGCCTGGGCTACATAATGAGACCTTGTCTCAAAAACAAAACAAAACAAAAACAAAAACAAAATCAAATAGATAGCTAGAGGGACTCTATAAGTTCTCCCAGGCTAAGGATAAGGTCCTGGGCTTCCTTCACCCATTGGTATTAACCCAGTGATGTCCATCTTACCCAGGGACGAGTAGCTACTGGAAACTCTGGGTTCCTATGAAAAGACTAGCTCCCCGTCCAAAACAAATCCTGCCCATGCCTGGTATGGGACAATGAGACTGTAGTAAAGCACCAGTGTCATTCCCTTGACCTAAGAAAGTACAGGCCACGGCAATAAAGTTGGAACCAACAGTAAATGTTTTGGTATTGCAGTATTGACAGTAAATAAAAGGCCTCAGGATGGTGCTGATACAATGTGACAAGTTATGAGTTTCAATTCAGCACAGCAACCAGAGCAAGAATTTCCAAAGTGATTCAGTAGAGGCAGACAACAAAATTACACTGGAATGGGTGTGTGTAACAGACAGACGGCTCGGCTCACTAAGGCAGTGGTATTGCAAACTCTAGGGAGAACACACACTTAAGAAACTCCACTTTGAGCTGAAGATGCTTTTGTTTCAGATGTGGCCCTGCTCACCTACCCAGCAAAGCTACACTGAGTAACTCTGCCTCACCCGCACAGCTGGTCAATGCCCATGAACCCACATGGCTCCTTTGGGAGCCCGGCACTTTAGAGGACTTTAGTTGGGGGTGCCTGTATGGAGGAAGGTCACCTTGTCCACACTTCCGCTCACGGCACTGCAGGTGTCACATCTCTGGGACATCTGGTAGAAAGCCACCTGTCCTCTACTTAAGTGCTACCAGGGATGAGGGACACCACCTCACTTTACAAACACTGTTTGCCGAAGTCAGGTCCATTTTCCCAACAATCTACTCCTGTGAGAAGTTTTCTTTGTACTGAACTGAAATGGGCTTCCTAACTTGCATCTTTCTATGCTAGCACGCATCTACTCAGTCCCACCAAATAACCTTGTCCTGGCTTCACAGACACAGCTTCCTCCTCTCTCGCCACCACAAACATATCTGCACAAGCCCTGACCTGCATTCTCCTTCCCCCACACGAGGGCAGGGATGCCTCCCTCCAGCCTACGGTAATCCTGTGTTCAGCCTTTTAGGAACTTGCATTCACTCACCTATGGAATTATTCCTTCAATGCTTAAGCCACTGCAACAGACAACATAGCAGGAGATAGGTGATCTATGATGGTGAGCATAAAAAGCTATCCCTGAGGAATATAAGCTCCACGCAGGCAGGAATTTTAGGGTGTTTGCTTTTTGAGCCAGGGTCTCACTATGTAGCCCAGGCTGGCCTCGAACTGAAGGCAATCCTCCTGTCTCAGCCTACCGAAGGCAGGAATTGCAGAGTGTCTTGCTCACATGCTATCCACAGGGCTGAGATCAGTGCCTGACATACTGGTGTTCAATAAATACATATTGAGTTAATGAGTAAAGTCACACCTCCAACTACCAATTATCCCCTCTCAATAGGTTCTTCTACTTCAGCACAAAAACATGCTCCAGATGCTCCCATTCTACAATTAAGACCACATATGTCTGTAATCCCAGCACTCAGGGGGCTGAGGCAGGAGGACTGCTGTAAGTTCCAGGCCAGCATAGTGGGTTCAAGGTCAGCCTGAACTACATAGTGAGACTTGGTCTCAAAAAACCAAAAATAAATAAATAAATAAAATTAAGACCACAAAAAGAAAATACTCCTGTGGTCCTATCAGTCTCCACCAGCTACCAGCCCCTGTGTACCTTTAGAGGAAGAACCCTGCTGCAAACATCAAAACCACACTGACGGCTCCCAGATTTTTATTTCCAGCCTAGATCTCCCTTGAGCCTTAGACCTACATACTCAATGATTTGCCGACATTTTCTTCTAAGTCCCAGCAGCCCTTCAAACTCGACAGGTTCGAAACTGGAGTCACCATCTTTCCACATGCTTCTGCTTCATTCTGTCTCCGGGGGTGATGCCACCTTCTTTCCAGCTGCTCTACGCAGTCTTTAGCACTACAGCTCATGAACCAACTGAATTCTGTTCTTATCTCCCAGGCCCCTTTCCCCCAGGTCCCTCACTAAGTTTGCTAGGGCTGGTAGCTTTTGGGCGGTCATACCACTGTCTCATCCCACTTTCACCTCATCAAAATACAGATCCGCTCAGTCACCCTTCTGCTCCCCTTCACTCACCACCCAGAGCCTTCCAGGCAAATTGAGTCCTAAAACCTCAGGCACCACAACAACCCTATTTCTGGGATCTGTCCAACTTAATCCCCATCCATTCTGGCCCCAACACATGAGTTGCTTCTTTGCACTCTTGTCCCTGTGCACTCCCCCATGCTGCTCAGTCTAAAATGCCTTTTCTGGGCCGGGGATTTAGCTCAGTGGTTCCGCCGCCTGCCTTGAAAGCGCAAGGACCCAAGTTTGATCCCCAGTACCAAACAAACAAACAAACAAACCCCCAAATAAAATGCCTTTTCTTCCCACACCAACCTTTCACATATCTGCCCTGTCAGACAACTCCCTGGGGGAAATTTCCCTTAGCCCAAGTGTCCTCTTTGAGAATGCCACTGTGCTATGCTATGATCTTCTATGAATGCTGAAAGGAATCAATCAGATCAAAAACTGGCCCTATGTTTGTCCTCCTGGGCCTCAATGACTTCTTCACATTTCATGTGTTCACTCTTGGCCTTTCCTCTCAAGCGAAATACATGATTTTTTTCTTCAAATACTCCTCAGGATATACTATACATAACTTTGGTTCTCTACTTCTCTCTCTAGTTCAGTAACACTGCTTTCAATAGAGAAGTCAGAGGTCTTAAAGATGGTTTCCATTAAATTACACTTCATCATCGTGGAAAATAATCACTTAACATCATCTGACAAGACTCAACAATGCAGAAGTTCAGGTTCCTGGTCCGTATGAAGCAGATCATTCTAGTAAGGAAAGCATGTTCAAATCCGGTACAGAGACAATGATTTTACCTTAAACCAAAACCTAAATAAACCTCACTGAATCAAAATAATGTCATTAAAGCATGGAATGTTAACAGATGTTCAGTTGAAACACATCATTAAAGGGAAGTTTTTAAATTAAAAAAAAAATTCCAAGGTATCTTGCTAGATCAGAATGGCCCATTCCAGAACAAGCAACAGAAAGGAAAGAAAGAACCCTAAAACTTCAGTCACATGGAAATAAACATTAATTGTCATCAACACAGAACACGCTGGGCACTTGCAGGGATGGAGGAGAACTAAAGATTTCAGGACCAACCAACCCTGGTCTCCACCTCTAGGAGAATTAATTCACCTCCCACAGCACGGGGCAGGCCTCCCACTGGTTTTCCGCTGACAGCTGGGGTTGGGAGCACCCATTCCTCCAAGCTGTTCTCAACCTGGCCTCGTGTTCCCTACAGTCTGCACCCCCAGCCTCAGCCCCCATCATTCCCACACCCTCACCCACCACCAGCCGCGGTGTTCGGTCTGCGCGAGGCGGAGTAGGGAAGAGGCCCACTCTCGATTTCACTCCAACTTTACTACTTACTACCTGTGTGCTGCGGGACAATGGATTTAGGCTTGATCACTATAAAAACATGAAGACGAGGCCCTCTTTTAAGGACTGCTGTAAAGTGAAGTGCACTGTCACATGACACAATGAGAGGCCACATGCGAGCCGACTTCCACTCTTCCGCTCAAAGCCAGGGAACCTGGTTCCACTTCGAAAGCTACCATTTCTTTGACATGCAACCCTAAGGAGGTGACTCACATCCTAGTTTCTAAATCCTTAAAACAGGGAACTGAGACCAACTACTGAGAGGTGCTCGGTATTCGTTCACCTGAAGAAATAGTCAAACAACGACTCCATCTCAACTTCTGCACTCTGAAACGTATACGGAGATTTCACCCGTTTATTGACGACAACCACTAGAAACGAAGACACATGAATGCAAAAGCAAGCCAGCAAGCACAGGCAGCGGCCGGCGGCGTCTGATCAGGCGGCTGCGGTCCAACCCCGTCCTCCGCCGGAAGAGGAGGCCAGGTTGACCCGAGGCCGGCGGCGCCATCCTCAGAGGTGGAGGCCGGCTCAGGAGCCCCGGCCCGGCCGGGGCCTGGAGGCCCAAGAGGGCGCGCCGCCGCCAGCAGCGGACCCCGGAAAGGGCCCCGGGGAGGGGGCTGAGCGGAGGCCGCACCGTGGCACCCACCCCACTGCCGCCCACCGGCCGCCGCCCACGTCGCAGGGCCTTCTGGAGCGCGCCCCGCCCGCCCTCGCTTCTCACCGGCCAGCAACAAGGACAGCAGCGCGACGAACACAGCCATGGTGCCGAGGCAGCTGCAGCACTGCGGGACGACACTGATAGCACCGTCGGGACCCAAACGATAACCGCAGCGTGAAGGGGTGGCGTTCGGACTGGTTCTGACTCCCAAGGCCCGCCCCTTCATCGCACCGCCCCGGTCGCCTCGCCTTATCAACCAATCGGCAGCTACGCCGCAGACTACGGGAGAGACGTAACCTGGGAGCCTCACCCTTTTGGGCGGGGCAAATTGATGTGATTGATGGGATTCCCTAGCAATGGTAGCCGGCGGTGGAAGAGCGGGGCGGTCCTGGCCCAAGAAGACTGGTCACGAGATGAAGGGTAGGGCAGGCGGTCAGTGACGAAACCTGTCTGTTGGGGGTCCTGACAGCCGGCGGGGTGAGGCTGCCCCCTGCGTGCGGACCCTTGGTCCAGTCTCCCGTGACGGTCTCCAACGGGGGTGTCTGCTTTACCGGGTCGAGTGCCTCCGCCCCGCCGCGAACGCCAACTCTGGAAACTGCGGGGCTGGTTCAGGTTTCGCTCGAACCTGTACAGAGGTGTTGAGCACCGCGGGGACAGAACCAGGTCGTCTGGGAACCCTGCCCTCCAAGTAGGAGTGCCAGCTAAAACACAGGCCTCGCAGTTAGATTTGAATTTCGGATAAAAAAGTATGTCTCGAGTATTTTATGGGAGATACAGTAAAATAAGTATTTTTTTTCCCCTCTGAAAGTCAAATATAACAGGGCGACCTGCAGTTTGATTTGCTAAATCTGCCAACCCTGCCCCTAAACACTTTCCGATCTACAAGGAATGAGGAGACAGCATAAATGACTTCATCTATTCCTCAGTTTCCAACCTGGGCGGGGTGTTTGTGAGGACAGAGGAGGGGAGATCTAGTAATTAGGCCAAGTTCCTCCCTTCCCGGAGCCCCAGGGGGCCACAAGTGGCAACAGTGTAGCTAGCTTCTGTGGTTAAAATGTTGCCCAGCTGAGGACTTTGAAAGGCACCGAGAGGAGGCGGGGATTGTTTTAGGTATTGAAAACTATTTCGCCTCCTGCTGTGCAAGCACAAGGACCTGAGTTCGATCCCCGGTACCCCCCCCCCAAAAAAAAGGATTGCAGAAGCTTTAGGGCCGGGTTTCCGGCGCCTGCCTCGAAAGCGCATGGTCCCAAGTTCAATCCCCGGTACCGAAAAAAAAAAAAAGAAAACTAAAGTATGGGTTGGGCCTGGTGGCGGGCGCCGGTATTTCCACCATTTGGGAGGCTGAGGCAGGAGCATCCCCACGAGTTGGGGGCCAGCATGGGCTACATAGTGAGTTCAAGGCCAGCCTGAACTGCATAGTGAGACCCTGTCTCAAAAAACAACAAATAACCAAACAGACAAAAACAAAAAGCCCCTAAATTACGGCAAAGAGAAAGCCTCTTTAGATTGAGCATTAACTGTATAATTTGACGAAATATGGAAGAGGGGGACACAGAACTCAAAACTTTAAGTTAGGACATATTTATTAAAGGTCTTAAATTGTACAGAAAACTCGAACTGGTAGGAAATGGGGACTCATTGAAAGTGGCTGAAACTCATAACTCTCAAATTTGCATGTTTCCAGCAGAGAATTTGCACAAATGTGACTTTAAAGACATCTGAAAGGGAGTAGAGCTGGTTTCTCATTAGAAATGTGAAATTATTAGAAACAAAATATCTAAAGCCACTAATTTCCAAAACATCAACTCTATCTTGACTGGCTTGAAAATTTTTGGGGGTGGGGGTACCAGGGATTGAACTCAGGACCTTGAACGTGGGAGGCAGGCGAGGTGCCGCTGAGCCAAATCCCTGGAAAATCTTTTTTTAAAAAAACTATTTTTAGGCATGATGAATTCACCTCTGTGCACATTAGTGAAAATTTCATTCTCTGCCCATCTTGCTGCATATCTTAGGACAGTTTTGAACCAGAGGCCATGCAAGAGCTGATCTACATTAACCTTATTCAGGGGCATAATCAGAGAAAACTGGAGTACAACCTCTGCGGTTTTATTCAGCCTAAAGAAACAGAAAGGAGTGAATTTTTCTGATCTTAAAAAGAGCTCTAGGACATTTGTTTTTAATTTGAGAAAAAATAATATTACAAAGAGACTGGATTATGAAACAAGTCTCTCTCCTGCAAGAAAACCTCACAATTTCATGATCTCTGTAATTTTTTTGTTTTGTTTTGTTTTTTGAGACAGACTCTCACTATGTAGTGTGGTTTTTCATTGTTTTATTTTGGGGTTTTTTGAGACTAACTTTCACTATATGGTTCAGGCTGGCCTTGAACTCACTTTGTAGCCCAGGCTGGCCTCGAATTTGCAGAGATCCTCCTGTCTCAGCCTCCCGAGTGCTGAGATTCTCCTGTCTCAGCCTTCTGAGTGCTGAGATTATAGATATCCACCACCACAATCAGCCACAATCTCTGTTTCTGTCTTGAAAAATACCATTCTTTTTTGGGCTAAGGGCAAATAGCTTAGCCCGTACGTCTCAGGCCCCTTTTCAGCTGAGGTCTGGAAGATGCATTGGTGCTCCTTATAGTCTTGGAACTCAGCAAGAGAAACACTTAGGAAGCCTTTGTGCTGCAAGGACTAAGACAGAAGCCCAGGGAAGGGCTTTGGAGCTGAAGGTCACACTGTGAATCATCAGCAGTTCTGCTTCTAAGTGCAGCCCTCTGATTCAGTCTTTAGTGCTCAGTAAACATCTGGTGATGTGCAGTTCAGTTTTCCATTGAAGCACTTAGTGGTGAATATGTGTGTGGTAGGATAATTTTTTTTTTTTTTTGGTACCGGGGATTGAATTTAGGACCTTGCACTTTCGAGGCAGGCGAGGTGCCACTGAGCTAAATCCCTGGCCCTGGTAGGATAATATTTGTAGTAATAAGCCGGGTATGGTAGCACAGGCCTGTAATCCCTGCACTTGGGAGGCTGAGGCAGGAGGATCACCGTGAGCTCAAGGCCAGGCTGGGCTACATGAGATCCTGTTTCAAAAAACAAAAACAAAGGGTCGGGGATTTAGCTCTAGTTGTTCCACGGCCTGCCCTGCAAGTGCAAGGTCCTGAGTTTGATCCCCGGTACCAAAAAAAAAGCAAAACAAAAAACCCCACAAAAAAACAAAAGCAGCTCAATCTCATTATTACTTAGGGAAATGCAAATATGAAACCATGAGACACAATACTATACCACTGTACTAGATTGGCAGAAGTTAAGAAGCCTGACATTCAACTGTAAGCAAGGATTAAGTCAACTGAAACTTATACACCATGCTAGTAGGAGTACAAATTGATGTGGTAATATCAGAGAATATTGCCTAATTTATTAAAGTCAAAGATATCCATAGCTCATGAGTCAACAGTCGTGGTGCTTGGAATAAATGTTGTGGCAATATGTATTTACATGTGCCAGAATACATGTACAAGAATCTTCCTAACAGCCTGGAATCCCAGCACTCAGGAAGCAGAGGCAGGAGAAACACTGCAAGTTCAAGGCCATCCTGAGCTACATAGTAAGACTGTGTCAAAAAAAAAAAAAAAGAAAGAAAGAGGGGCCAGGGATTTAGCTCAGTGGTGCTGCTGCCTGCCTCGTAAGTGCAAAGTCCTGAGTTCGATTTCTGGTACCGAAAAAAGAAAGGAAGGAAGGAAGGAAGAAAGAAAGATCCTAATGGCATTGTTCATGACAGCCAAAAAGAAAGAAAGAAAGATAGATCCTAATGGCATTGTTCATGACAGCCAAAAACTGGAAGCAATTTAAATGTCCATTAACAGACTGGACAATAAATGGTATATTTTGTACAATGGGATACTATACCATAATGAAAATGAATAAATGTCCTATGTAATTATATTTAATATGATATAAATAAGCAAACAGTACAATTCTATTTATATAAATTCACAAACAGGCAAAAAGAAACTATAGCTGGGCATGGTGGTGCATGCCTGTAATCCCAGCATTCAGGAAGCTGAGGCAGGAGGATTACCATGACTTTGAGGCCAGCCTGAGCTACATAGTGAGTTCAAGGCCCATCTGAACTACATAGTGAGACCCTGTTTCAAAAAATAAAAAGACATTGTTTTTTTTTTGGTACCGGGGATCAAACTCGGGTCCTTGCGCTTGCGCAGCAGGCGGCAAAACCACTGAGCTAAATCCCCGGCCCAAAAAAGACATTGTTTAAGGGTGCCACATATGTGGCAAAAGTATAAGGAAAAGCAAAGAAGGACTAGAGGTTTAGCTTGGTGCTGGAGCACTTTGGAGACCCTGGTTTCCATTCTCAACATGGAAAAATAAAAGCAAGAAAGTGGTTTCCATAAAAATCAGAATAGTGATTGCCTCCAAGATGGATGGGAGGAGGATGTGTTTGAAGGGAACATGCAGAAGGATTTAGGGGCGCTGGTATCCTTCTTCTTCTCCTTCCCCTTCCCCTTCCCCTTCTCCTTCTCCTCCTCCTCCTCCTCCTCCTCCTCTTCCCCCCCTCCACCTCCCTTCTTGGGGAGAAGGGTGGGGATTCTTCTAATGGGGATTGAAACCAAGGCCTTTGAACTGAGCTACGTCACCTACTCTTCTTTTAAATTCTGAGACAGGGTCTCGCTCACTCCTTAAATTGCCCAGGTTGGGGTCAAACTTGTGATCCTACTTAAGCCTCTCAGAGTGCTGGGATTATGGGCCTGCACCACCACACCTGGTTGGCTGGTTTACTTACTTTTCTGTTCTCTCCTCTCCTCTCTCCCCTCCCCTCCCCTCCCCTCCCCTCTCCTCTCCTGTCTCTCTCCTCCCTCTCTCTCTCTCTCTCTCCTCTTCCTCCTCCTCCTCCTCCTCCTCCCTTCTCTTTCTCCCTCTCTCTAGTACTGAAGATTGAACCCAGGGAATACTGAACTTCAGCCTCAACCCTTTTTATTTTTACTTTTTATTTTGAGACAGGGTATCACCAAGTTTCCCAGGCTGGCCTCCAACTTTCAATCCTCCTTCCTCAGCCTCCTAAGTAGCTGTGATTACAGGATGTGCTACCACGCCTGGCTGGTTTATTTCTTAATTTACATGCTGGTTGCCATGGTAGTGTTCATTTTATGATTATCCATATTCTTAATGTTGATGTTGTGTGTTCATTTCTCTCTCTCTCTCTCTCTCTCTCTCTCTCTCTCTCTCTCTCTCT